TGGAGAGGGGGGTCTCCAAAATCCTCGGCGGCGACCCCAAGGGCAACAATTTTCTGTACACCAACGGAAAGTGCGTCATCATCCGGAACATCGACGTGAGTGGCACCCCCTCCCCGCCCCCCCGGCGCTGGGTTCCGTCTCTGGGCGCTGCCCTGCGGAATCCTAAACGATTGCCCTTGGCGGGGCCCGGTGAGGGTGCCACGCCCCCTCCGCCCCCCCGGGGACCAGGCCCGGGAGCCCCAGAGCCTGCCTCCAGTTCGCCTGCCCCTCACCCGTTTTCTTCGTGGGGAGCCGGAGACTCGGGCTCCTGGGGAATTAACCCCCGGGGTTCTGGATTCGAAGGAGCAGGCGGACCCCACCAGTTGCTGCTAGACTTCGGGCCGGTTGATGACGTGGTCCTCTGAGAACCTCGGGTTCCTCCTCTCTTTAAGGAGAATCGCACGCCCTTCTCGTAGCTGCCATGCATGAGGGAATGCGTCGAGGGGGTACCCCGCCAAGCCCAGCCGGTGATGGGCAGCCATTAACACCCGAGGGCTCTCTGGGTGATCCGCCATGATGAGCACCCAGGCCGCTGGCTTCCCGCCCAAACTGCCCCCCACCCCAGTGCCAGAACGGGAACCAGTTTATTCCCATGACTCATTGGCTGCAGGCCTCCTGTGCCCAGGCTGAAAATTCGTCTAGAGCCAGCTTCTTGGGAATTCTTTGAGAACTCAAGGTTCATCCATCATTCCTGAAATGGCCGTCCTTTTCCCAGCCTCCGAATTCCAGGGTTCCACATTTACTGGCTTCCTGATCCCTTTCCCAGCCTGGGGGTGTAGGGAGGGGCATGGAGAGGGGTGGGGGGCAGTGCTGATTGGATGGCTTTGATTAGGCTTGCTCACCAGGGGGTGCCAGCACTACTTTTGGTGGCTTGGGAGTCTTCATCCACTAGCAGCACCCAGTTTAGGGGGTGAAGGTCCTGACTCTGTTTTCCTCCCTGTGAGAGCAGCCCCAGCCCCCATCTTCCCAGGGAAACCCTCCCTTCACGATTGGCCCCCTGCTGGGAGCAGGCGCTTTTGCTGCCACCTCGCCAGGGCACCTCCAGTGAGGACTTGGGTGGGTGTGAATGTGCGCTGGGGGCACTACCACCACCTCAGCTGTCAAGATTCCTAGAAAGCACTCATGAGATCTCAACTGGGGGGGTGCACTGCTGCCCAGGACTGGGATCAGAAAGATCTGGGGTATGGAGTGGGGTCCTGGCTGCTGAGAAAGCCCAAACTGAGCTGTTTTGATCAAAACTGAGCTAAGTAGGTTCTGCTTATAAGGAACATTAGTAGTGCAGTGGTAAAGTGCTCAACTGTGAATTGAGGGGTGGGGCCCTGCCCTTCATGGGCTCTTTGGGAGAAGACGCCTGGGAACCTATGCCTGTAAAGGTTTGACCCAAGGAAACTCCATGGGGCGGTAGAGTGGGGTGATGGCTGGCTGTGAGTCGGCAGCCACTTCCTGGCACCCAGCAGCAGCCAATTCTTAGGTTGTAGTGACAATACCATCCAGTCTGTTCTGGCCATATTGACCCTTTGTACTGGAATGAAACCCTGCCCAGTCCTGTGCCATCCTCACAACTGTTTGAGCCCATTGTTGCAGCCACTGTCACTGCCAGTCCATCTCGTTGAGGGTCAGTGACATTCTGCCTTTCCAAGCAGGATGTCTGTCCTTCAGGTCTCCTGATTTCCATATCCAGAGTTCTAGAGACAGCCATGATTGACACCGAGTTTGGCAGATAAAAACCCACTGAGCCCTTTGAGCAATGCAGAGCAGAAGACCACCTGCTCATGCCCTCCCCCACCCAAGGCCCACCTGGGTGGTGTGAACCCCCTGTGAAGAAATGGCCTTGCCAGCCTCAATTCCATAGGATTCCCAGGTGACTTAGGTTGACAGAAGACATGCCTGGGGAATGTACGAGAATCGCCTGGGGGTTCTCAGAACAGCCGCTCATTCCCTATACATGGTGTGGAAAGGCTGGCTCATTAGGGCCAGCACTGTGCTCCCCTCAGGCTAGGATTGGCCAGCTCGACCCTGCCTTTGTCTCGGGTCTGCTGGGAGTTTGTCTTAGATCCTGGTCCTTATGTTGCTTCTGCCTGGAGGTGCAGGCCTTGCTCCCCATGTGCCCTGAGGTCTCTTGCTTGGATGTCACTTTGGGGGAGCTCCTGAAACAGCCCCGACCTCTACCACTCAGTGCTTACCTGCACACAAGACAGGCTAGCTTTCAGGCCCCCACATCCTCCTTCAAGTGCACCTGTGCAGCTGGGCTATAAGCCCCGGTGGTTCAGTGCTTTGCCCTCCCAACTACAAGAGGGCCCAGCCTGTCCCAGCCCAGACCCACTGCCAACCATCCAGTTCCGACTCAGGGTTTTCGGACCTGACAATCTTTGATGAGTAGGCAGCCTCGTCTCCTAACGAGCAGCAGGTGGGCTTACACCACCCACCTTTCGGTTAGCAGCTCAGCACCTAACCCACAGTGCCACCAGGTGCGTGGTAAGCTGTGGAGAGGCCTTGAAAGCCCTCTGCCTGGTGGGGAGTAGAGGAGGCAGCTGAGGGAGGGGAGCTTCTTTTCTGGTGAGCATGGGAAAAAGTGGGGCCTTCAAGTGGCAGAACCCTGCGCCCCCACGAACAGCTGCCAGTGCATCCCTGCTGACTCACCTGGAGCAGCCTCTGCGGTCTTGTTGACTTCATTTAAGTCTTAACTCCTGTCCCATTGCCACACCCCAGAGAGGAAATTCTCCTGCGCTAAAATCACAAGGTGATGGTGGTCACCTGGAGACAGGTTACGGAAATTCAGCCGGTGTGGGTACCACCTGGGAGGGCATCCTGCCACTGCTAGTACCTTCGGGGCTTCCTCCGAGCATGATTGTCTTGTGGGCAGTGCCACCTGGAGGCCCTTGTGTCCTCTACCCTCCCCTCGCCCAGAGAGTGGAAGTCTTGAGAGAGTTATCAGTATGGTCCTTGTGACGGGCACGGGCTGGTGGGAAAGTGGCACAAACCTTCCCTTTGTGACACAAAACTCAAGTCTGCCAGGATCTGTGAGAAGCAGGAAGCCGAGCACCACGGAATTTGGCGGGGGTGGGGTGGTGATGCTGCTGCAGGCAGTCCTTAGATTCCAGAACTAAGGGGGGGGGGCTCGTGCACCTCGTGTGTTGCCAGGGTGTTTCCAGGTTGAGACGAGACCTGGTGATCTGGAAATGGGCCAGTGACAACCCCCTGGATCACAGCAGTCTGGTCTGTGACTGTTGGACCGGGCCATGCCTCCTGCTGGCCGAGGGGGTCACGTGGCTCGGGGCTAGCTAGCTTGGTGGCTGCTCACAGTGAGGAGAACACTGAAGGGGGCTTCAGAACCTGTGTGGGGGAGGGAACTGAGCTGAAGGGCCACCCCAAACTCTCTGAAGCCCCACAGCGGTTTGGTGTGGCTGCAGGGCCCTGCAGGTCACTGGGCGCTCTCCTGGAACCACTGGGTGCCGAGTTGCGCTGGGACTTCTGTGCCGCTGCCACATGCAGCAGGGCCCGGAGCTCAGACTGCTACGGACCAGGAGAGGCGGCTAGACAAGGATATGACCGTTCTCTGCCAGGCGTGCAGCACTGCCCGAGGGTGCTCATGGTCTTGGTGTGGGTGGCACCAGGCCGCAGCAGTGGACAGAAACGCAACCAGGCGTCGCTGAGTGGTGAGAGGTCAGGGCCTGGCGGCCCAGGGCGGCGGCCAACTTCCCCAACTTCCGTCGCAGCTGAGGACTGGGCCACAGCCAGGCGGGGCGTTGGGGATGTGGCGTGGGCAGGCATCCCTCAGTGCACTGGCTGGGCCACAGCTTGTTTTCCCCAGGCTGCTTTCCAGGTGTCCCACGAGGGTTCCGTGAGGACTTGGGGCCTCCCTGTCCCTGTCCCCCTTCCTCCACACTCCCCCATCTATTGCCTTCTGTGCTGCGCTGAGGACAAGTGGGTTCCATCGCAGGTATACCAGGGGTCTACATTGCAGCCAGCCTCATCATGGTGGAGACCGCTCGGGGCTTGTCTGTTAGAGGGGACGGCCTTCCCCCCTGGAAGCAACCGCTGTGCGTGCAGCTGAAGGGTCACTCGGGAAGTCCTATGATGGACCATGAGGAAAGGTCATCGTATGAGGTCTGCAGTGGAGGGCTGCTTCCGGCCCTGAGATGGTGCAGGCCCACCAGCTGGCACCACCCACCCTTGGGTCTTTGGTGGTCCGTCGCCTTTATTCAGGCTGCTGGAGCATCACACTCCAAGTTCCAGGGCGGGCAGTGGCTGGCTTCAGTTGTCACAGCTGGGTGGGGGCCATGTTGGTCTGGGCTGTCGAGGTGATTTCAAACTGTAGCAACCGCACGTATCAGTGTGGCACTGCCTATAGCCCAAACCAGCCCTCTGACTCATAGTGACCCTGTAGGGCAGAGTAGGGTGTCCCTGGTGCCGGTCTGCTCAGGAGAGCCCTCCTGCTGAGCGGCTAGTTATGGCCCGAGTGCTTCAACCGCTGCGCTACCAGGATTCCTTCAGCCGCCCCAGAACCCTAACTGGAGACTGGAACTGCGCCCTGGGGGAGCCAAGCTGTGAACCTTTACGACTCCCAGACCCATCTCTGTCCTAGGGAGCAGCTGGATTTGATCTGCCAACCTTTTTGTCATAGTAACTCGATGCTTACCCACAGGGCCACGGAGACTGGGAATGATTTAACTTGCCTCCTCTGTGCACCCAGGTGCTCCTACAGGTGGCTCTGGGTGGTCTTCAGGGCTGGGGGGTGGCAATGTGGAAGCTTCTTGGAGGGGAGAGGTGGGCCTGCAGTCCCCTTCTGGTTGGGTTGTGGAAGTGGCCCTATCCCCATCTCCACCCTGCCCGGCTGCCTTCCTCTCAGTCTTGTGGCCTGAACTTTCTCCCAGCATGTTAAATCCCCCTCCCCCCACCCCAGTCCCCCCTTCCTGCCACCAGAGCTGATGTTTGTCTGTCAGTTGGTTCGGTGCCAGGTACCTGCTGAGTCTGTGTGTGTCTTGAAGTCTGCAGGAGGCACATGAGGTCATCCATTTATAGGTGGGTGCTGACCTCTGTCCTGGCACTCCTCAGGGCAGCTCTCCAGTGCAGTCCTGTGGGGGAGGACAGGAAGGGAGTTAGTTGCCCGGGAGGCAGCCAAGGCCGTCCAGGGAGGGCACCTGACTCCTGGGGTGTGGCTGGAAGGCAGGGTGGAGATGGGGGAACAGGGCTCTGAGGCCGGAAGAGAATGAAGTTTCCAGGGCCCATGGGCCACCAGGAGTGACCTGGCTGCCCTGCTAGCCCTGAGTTGAACATCTGGACCCCACATGACCAAGAGGCAGAAGGACTGTGCACTGAGTTCAAGGCTGGCCCAGACACTGCAGCAGCTGGCTGGCTGGGCATGCCATTCCTGTCTCCGGGCCTTGGTTCTTCGTTACGTGGCTGTCATTTGTGTAGGGGCTCTGGGAGGGAGCAGTCAGGATGCTTAAGGGGTGTCTGGAGGCTGCAGGGTGAGGCAGACAGGCCTATCAAGTGTAGGAGGTAGTGGGTGTGCCCAAGGTAGGTGAGGGTGAGGCATGGGGTGGATTTGTAGCTCAGGATGGTGCAGGTCATTCCAAGCATAGAGCATCGGGGTTGCCTGGTCCTGGGAGAGTTGGGGCTAAGGGGTCCTTTGGGGAGCAGGAAGCAGCGTGTAGTGAGGCTTGTACTGTAAGCCAGCCGGGCAGTGGTTTGGTGGCAGGGCTGGAGCCCTGGGTGAGGGGTGGGCTGTCTGGGAGCAGGGCTGTGCACGCTGTGGCCCGCTGGGGCGGCTGCAGAAATGGACCTTGGCTATGCACTGTTTGTATGCTGTGGCTGCCCGGGCCAGTACGCAGCCCTAGCACTGGTGGCGAGGAATCCCCATGGCCACCCATCTTGTGTTAGGGCTTAGCCTCTGGGTTCACACTTGCCTAGTGTAAATTCCTGTCTGGAAGGGCGGCGGCGGGGGAGCCTTTTGGAGGAGATGTTCGTCACCAGTGGTTGGGAGGACAGCCCTCAGTTGTGTTGACTGCTCTGGTCACAGCCTCTGTTATTCTCAGGAGCTGCTAGTAGGGGTTTAGAGAGTTGTTGAAGGCGCCGGGGAGAGAGGCAGCCCCAGCTCACCACAGCCCACATGGAGGACGGGAGGGAGCAGTCATGGGCCATCCGCACAGTTGTATGTGAGCCCATCCTCGCAGCTGCTGTGCCAGTCCTTACCGGGACTCGCCCTCTGCTGATGTTCCACTGTACCAAGCACAGTGACCTTCTCCAGGAGCTAGTCTCTTCTGTAATGTGTCCAGAGTGCGAGGGGAAGTCTCACGAGCCTGCCTCTAAGGGGTCTTTCCTGCTGTACTTTGTCTGCAACTCTGCCTGTTCTTCTGGCCGGCCACGTGTCCTTTGTGTTCTGCACCAGTAGGTGCCCTGGTGGCTTAGTGGTTACACGTTGGCCCCTGATGTGAAAAGTGAGCAGTTCAAGACCACCAGCCGCTCTTCTAGAGAAAGATGGTTCTTTCTCCTGCCATAAGCAGTTACAATCTCAAATTCACAAGAGCACGTCTACGAGGCCCCTGAGTTGGCATCCACTCGATGGCAGTGAATGTAGTTCAGGGGCATCCAATCTGCCTTATCCATTGATTGAAAGGACCACCGCTTGGATCATCAAAGTGACATCGTTGTAAGCAGTTCAAAACTACCAGCGATTTTCGACTCCTGTCACAGGTAGTCTCAGAAATTCACAGGAGCAGCTATGCCCTGCCCTGTAGGGTGGCTCTGCGCGGATCCCGTGGCGGTGAGTTTGATTTAGGCAGCAGATGGCCCCCTGCAATGGTCACATCATCAGTGCATCTTGACTGCTGTCTCCAGGGTGCTGATTGTGGAGCCATTGAAGCGAGATGGCATCCCTCCCTCCTCACCGCCATTTACAACGTGCTTTAGCTTGTTCCAGAAGGTCACACTGGCCTGGTCTTGGCTCTGGGAGACAGCCAGGGCCTTCTCTGGGGGCTCCTTCAAGGCTCGTGTCAGTCTGGTGGGTGTGACCTCTGGCATGCTGTGTTGTGTCATCCTTCATGGGATTCTCTGTGGCAGGGAGTGCCTGGAGGAGATGAGGGAATGAGTCGGGGCCCAGGGGGACCGTTGTGGGCATGCTGAGGGATTGATTGGCCAGGGTGTGCCTCGCCTGTGAGCAGGTCTGGGGCCTGGCAGCTCCCGGCTTCCCTGGTGGACCTGCATCACTGTGCAGGGTGTCAGGGCTTCTGGTGACTGGCTTTTCAGAAGTGGGTTGCCAGGCCTCCTTGTTGCCTCTGTGGGTTCCATCCATCCCGGTGCCTTCCTGGGAACAATTCCTTGCTGTTTATGCTGGGAGGCACTGTATACAGTCAGGGGCAAACCTGTTTTAAAAGTGCAGGGTTAGACCAGGCTCAGTGAGGGTGCACTGCTGGGCCTTGGGCCAGGCGCCGAGGAAGGCTGCCCAGCTCCTCCTTGGGCTGGAAACACCAAGGCAGGCAGGCTGAGCCCTGCTGGGGTGCTGGGTGCTGTTTAAGGCAGCTAAGTTCTGGGGAGTTCTTGTTCCAAGGACTCTCTCCAGCTCTGCCCAGGTTCTCAGGACCCCCTGTCCAGAGGAAGAACATTAAGTGTGGGGAGTGCCCCTCACCAAGGCTGAGGCTGATGGGGAGTTAGCCAGGCGGGGGCTGCAAGCACTGGGTCTTTTGGACTTCCCATGGCAGGAGGTCCACGTGGCAGGGGCGAGGGGATGCAGTGTTGTGCTGGTAATGGCCCGTGAGTGGTCCCCTGTGCTCCAGGCCAGCCCCTCCGACCCCGAAGGAGGTGGACCCCGTGACAAGGCTGGCCCTGCGCACTCGGGCCTCTCCCCCGTCTCACTCACCCTGCCCCAGATCAATCACCCACTCTGCATGCCAGGTTCTGACTTCCAGAATCCAGCCCAAGACAGGAAGGAAGGAGGGGGCCGGTGTCAAGACTGGGCTGAGTGCTGGTTCCTCCACAGTCCATATGGATCAGGGGTCCTCAAACTTTTAAAATAAGGAGCCAGTTCATTGTCCCTCAGACCCGTTGGAGGGCCGGACTATAGTTTAAAAAAAATTATGAACAAATTCCTATGCACAGTGCACATATCTTATTTTGAAGTAAAAAAACAAAGGGGTTAAAATACCCGGCGGGCCGGATGAATGTCCTCGGTGGGCTGCATATGGCCCTCGGGCCGTAGTTTGAGGACCCCTGATCTGGATGGACCCTCTGGGACTGGGAGGTGCCCCCTATGCAGTAGTGGTCTGGACCCACCGATGTGTGGGGTGTGGGAGGCCCTCTGGGACAGGGAAGCAGCCCCGTACCATAGATGTCTGCTCCCACCGTGAGCAGGCTGCGCAGTGTGGGAGGAGCACGGTGTGTGCTCAGCTCCAGCTCGTACTCGCTGCGGTGCCTCCCACGCGACCCGTGTTGTGAGTACTCGCTGTGCATGAGTCTGCGGGGCCTGCCACCCCCACCTTTGGGGCTTTCACTCCTTCCGCTGCAGGCCACCTGGAGGGCGGAAGCCACTCCCGCCCCACCAGGCATGGGACAGCCCTGCTAAGGGCCAGAGGAGGGTCCCCTTGACCCAGGCTGGTGTGTGTGACTCAGTTCTGCACACAGTGAGTGTGAGCCCCTCGGTCAGCTTTGGCTGTGCTGTTGGGGGGCCCCTGAGGTGACTGGGGTATTACGGAGGAGAACCGGCCCCAGGGCTGTGGGGTGTTTCTGACTCATTGGGGCTGAAAGACAAGGACTAAGCAAACTCGCAGCCAGTGAGCCCAGCAGACCTGCCCCTGTGAGTTCCGAGATAACTCAACAGGAGTAAAAAGCGTCCACTTTCTCCCAAAGAGCAGCTGGTGGTTTTGAACTTCAGTCTTGTGTCTCAGTGTGTACCACTGCGCACTGCCCCTCCCTCCCCGGGGGGACAGGTTCCCCCCAAATCACTCTGGAGCCTCAGTCATTGCCTCAGTGCTGTCAGTGGAGAACCAGGCAGTGTGTCCTCCTGTGGAGACTGGCCACCTCGAGGCCTTGTGCAGGGGGCTCTAGCAGTGCTTGCTTGGTGATCTGCAGTGGGGCAGTCATGGGGCTGGTGACCAGAAGGTGAGTGGTTCAAACTCACCAGCCACTGGGCAGTTAAAGGACAGCTGTAAAGAGGTGTATCCTTGACGACCCCCTGGACCAGTTTTGCTCTGTCCTTTGGGGTCAACAGGATTGGCTCGGTGACAGCTCATAACAGAAGTGCCCAACGGGGGGAGGGCCACAGGAAGGTCAGAGGAGCTGGACAAGAATAATGTCAGCTGTGGAGAAGGTAACAGGTGCCCAGGGCCGTGCTGGCTGCTCGGAGCAGGTGGCCCAGTGGTCAGACCTGGAGCTCAGCATGTCAGTGAGACGGGGTTGCCGTGAGTGCTGCTTTGGTGGTGGCTGAAGGAGCCCTGGACGTGCCATGGTTAGGTGTTGGGCTGCGGACCGAGGATGGGGCTACCCCCACCGGCTGCTGCTCTACTGGGCGGGAGGGAGGGAGGAGGCTGGCTTGAGCCTGGAGATGGATAGGCCAGCAAGCTGGGGGCGGGGGGTGTCACTGAGTGGGAGTTGAGCGTGGGCTTGCCTCTTTGTCACTAACTTGCTCCTGGGTCTTGTCTTTGCAGAACCCTGCTGTTGCTGACATCTACACAGAGCATGCCCACCAGGTGGTGGTGGCCAAGTACGCTCCCAG